AGAGAGGGAGGGAGAGAGGGAGAGAGGGAGGGAGACAGAAAAGAGATTGACGTCTGTTGGCTCCCAGTAAAACAATCATGTACCAGGTGTTGGATTAGGTTAACTTTATGCATGAAGCCGTTTAAACAAATACCTTTCCTCTGTGACAGAGACTGACAGGGAGATAGAGAAAGGGGGAGAGAGAGGGAGAAAGAGCTAGGGAGGGAGGAAGAGAGAGAGAGAGAGAGACCACTGCAGTATCTAGACAGGGTAGAGAGAAAAGTCTAAGCCAAAACTGAGCTTAAAAACCTCATGTTACATCTAACAGAACATGAGGTGCTGAGTTCAGCACCCGAAAAGAGGACGGTAGATGTATGAAACGCTGTGGGCACCAAACATGAGCCATGGAGGAGTGAGAAGATGACTTGTGTCTGTGCATACACGGACTGACTTCTTAAGTGAGTCGAACATTTATTTGTGCCTATTCTGCCGCTCTCTGCTCTCTCCCCCGGTGACGGACGCCTGTCGTAATCCACTAATATTCAGTGCGGTGTGTCAGATCTGTCAGAGTGTCCGTGCGTAAAAAGCCTCCAACTCACCTATCTGCACTGAGCTGGGGAAAGCCCCCGCCGCCAAGCCCCACAGGGCAGAAAAAAATCCCAGAAAGTGCCAAGACAGAATAATCATCCTCATTTTTTTTTTCTCCCCCACTTTCCTTCAATCCGTTCAGAAACTGTTGAGAGACATCGAGAGAGACAGAAGTCGGTGGGGGAAATGCGAAAAGGAGCGGAGAATCTGTGCAAGGGGGCACACGGGGGGGCCGGGGGGGTGGGGGAGAGAAGAAAGAAGGGAAAATGAGAAATTTATTTCCCCCGTTCTGTCCAGCAGTATTCCTATTCCATGGCTGTTCCCCCCGCAGTGTCCGCTCAGGAGAGAGCTGCGCGCCCGGTGCACATGTGAAGAAGAGCAGGGAGAGGAGAGGCAGAAAGAGTGGGGAAAGTCGCTGGAATGATTGGCGAGCTGGGAGCACAGTCTGCATGGAGGCACTGGACATGCGCGCACCCTCCACCCTCACCCCCTTCCTGTCTCTCTCTCTCTCTCTCTCTCTCTCTCTCTCTCGACGAAATGATGCGTTTCTCTCTCCCAGTCAGACCCCGTCCCCTCGCTTCCTGCCGCCTCTAACTCTGTAACACTGAATTCTTATTGATAAACCGTGGCCAACTCGGAGAAACAGTGGTTGGCGGTGGTCCTGTTTACTTATCTACAGTGCAAAACCTTTGGCTCTTTTTTTTTCTTTTTTCTTCATTTCTGTGTTTTATGAGTCAAACTGAACGTGCAACACCGAGCATTCTAACATCAGCGTCTCTGAAGTGACCATCACCCCCAATCCACATCAACATCACCATCATCGACATCCAGGACAGCTGACAGAGAGAGTGGAGCATCGGACTGCAGCCCATACAGCTGCAGGAGGCTGATGGCGCCCCCCCCCCGCCCCCTCGGGACCTGCATCGTTATTTCAACGTCATGACCTTATGAGCGCAAACAACATCTGGCCAGGGAAGCAGGGAATAAGAGAAGTACAAGACGTGTGATCTGTCAACGACACAGTCTGGAAATAGTCAGGGATAATGGAGACGTTCGGCGCTGCAACATAAAACGGGGGGGTGGAAATAAGTAATAAAGCTTTAGTTATGTCGCCGTATAGTTGTATCCTGAGTCGTTTCTTTTCCCACAACCCGCTCGGTAAAATTGACAGTCTGCCTGGGTTCGCTCAGTTACACAGTGGAGAGCACAGTTTTCGTTTTGCCAAATGGCAAAACCAAAGGGATTTTGATGGTTGTCCCAGTGGAAGATGCGGTCTGTCCATCTGTTAGGGTTCCCCTGGTCGACTGCACAAGAGAAATCATAAAAGCTGGGAACGAGTTCATATATATATATATATATACACATATATATACATACATACATACATATATACATACATACATACATATATATATATATATATATATATATATATATATATATATATATACATATATATATAGATATATATATATATACATATA